GGAAAAGAAAAAGAAAATTGATCCGTCAAAGAGCGAGTGAAACCGACCTTCAAGCTACCGTCAAGCTTCCCTGCCAAAGCTAGCAACAACGTTGTTTTCCCTGAAGCTGGTGGACCAAGCAAAAGGGTCATCCTGAAAATGTTTCCATTTGAGCAACCATTCAAAACAAAAAGGAATCATGATGCGCGAATAGGTAAATACACATCAAGGAGTAAGGGGAAAATGCAAAGAACAGAGGCATTCATTTAGAGATCTGCAACTCGACATCATTCCTAGTTTCTAAATGTAATTCGTTTTTATCCGTCATTCCGGTTCAAACCAACTTGGTGTAGAAGATGGTTCGTCACCACAAAGTTTCTGAAGTACAACAAAAATATGTTAAACACACTTTTTTTTTTCTTTCTTTTAGATGAAGAGCAAATTTCCACACTAGCAGAATCTTTACCTTGATGGTTTGACTATGCCGCTGATATCTTTAAGAATCTGAATCTTCCTCCTTTTGGATGGGACGAGGCGTAGAAAGCCAAGAACACTCTTTTACACACAAAACAGAGGGAGGAGGATATATTAACATCATCTTAAATTGTCATGCTTGTATAAATAAAAAGTTCATTTGTTCCTCGCATGCATCTTTTGGAGACAATCCTTTGCTAAATGTTTTTACATTATATAGAATAAAATTAACCATCCGTAAAAAAAAAAAGGTCATATAATAAAATACTGTTAAATCGTGAAACAGGAAATCTAAGTACACGTTTCATTAAAAAAAAAAATCAACGTACACGCAAGAGGTAGTTTTATTTTTTTGGGAAAAAAAAATGACCGCGCACAAAAAGGAATAGAATAATGCCATTGAGAAAACAAACAAAAAGGGAACTAAAGAAAAGGGGTCACCTCCAATGTGTTCAAGGTGACGTTGAAAAGAGTTGGAAGCGCTCTGCTTCCGGCATAAGCATCTCCTTCCACTGCTAAATGCTCATACCGGACTTCGATTTTTGGCACTTCGATCGAAACCCTAAATCCCAAATCAAATTAGTCGTAGATTATCACAACACATGCGAATTTGAAACCGCCGATTTCGATTTCCCAGGAGACTTTCATTGTGGGTTAAATCGTTACCTGTCAATCCTGTCTCTCAATCTCTGGAGGAGCTTCTCGTTGTCGTCTTCGACGAATTTCAAAATCATCTCCATCAACTGCTTCTTCCCCTGAGGTCCGAGCCTGGTGACGTCGACCTCCTCGAGCCTCATCCGTTCATTGTCCGTCATGTGCGGCATCAGCCCCTTCCGGAGCCGATCGAACGTCGGAAACCGCTCGATCGCCGCCCACCGGAGCTCCTCCTCGTCGTCCTCACGCCTCATACTGTTTCCGAAAACCTCGTCAGCCTGCGCCATGCTCCGGCGACTGGTGGAACCCCGGCTCCCGCGTCCGCTCATAGTACGGACCAGATCTTCGTCTCGCCCCAGCAACGACGCCATTGTCAGCGACTGAATCGGAAAAGAATCCGACGACTAAGTTTTTTCTCCTTCTCCGTCAGTCGCTGTGTTTGGAGCTTCCCTTCTTCCCCTTCTGCTGACAGAGAGAGCAGCAATGGAAGTTATGCATGCCCTAGAGAGAAAAAAACGAAAACTCGGAATGGAGTTTGCAGAAGGATATATTTCCGTAATGGGAGAGCGAGAGATGATGGAGACAAATAAATTGGAGAAATGAAGTGTATATGCGCATTATGCAATGCTAAAGGGCGCGAGATTGTTTTTTTATGGTAACTAAATGTTTCTGAATTATTCCAAAAATTTTCTTCTAGAAGAAAATTTTATTTCCAATTTTACGGGTTATGTTATTATACATTATAAAATTATTCAAAGTATCATATTCAATTAATATTATCCAAAACAGTTTAAGTATATTTTCCTTTAAAAAAAAGTTTCTAGAAGTGTATTATTTTAAAAAAATTGCTTAATTATGTATTTTCTAAAATAATATCACTATAATTTTGTTTTCATATTATGGTAGATTTATTTTTTCAAATCATGAAACAAATTTTGATGATATAATTTGAAAATTAAAGTTTTCGTTTGAACGCTACGAATCCCATCCAAATTTATTATATAATATTATTATAATTTTTTTTATTAACTCATCAATATACGTATATTTTCATGTTTTATATCAACGTAAATTATTTTCTGAAATAATTAAAATATCAACTGATTTATCTTTTTTTCATTCAATTCTAAATACCCTCCAATCACTTGTTGCATGTCGAAATGTCTTTCCCATATATCAATTAATTTTTGGCCGGTCCGTATTAATTGCGCGCCTTCATTTAATGACAAGATTTAAATTTCTTATCTATAAATGGTTTTTTATTGTTTCCGAATTTTTTGTGGTATAAAAAATGCAATGGAAATTGAAGAATGTACCATTATTTAATACAACATATTACTATTAAAAGAATATATTAGAAAATATATGACCTGGTGCTTAGTAACCTCTCACATGCCTTTGACATAAGATAAAATAAAAAATGAGGTGGAGGAAAATATTGTTGGTTATTGTTTAGAGAGTCTCTCCGACTACATCTTTTGAGTTTCCGTTTCAAAACTGTATCTCTTTACAGGGCTTTTGATACCACTTACTATGGGTTCTTCTCTTATAGTTTTAGATCTATTTTCGGCTAATACCGACTTGTAATCCGTGTTTATATCAATATACTTCACATTTTACAAAAAAAAATATTGTTGGTTAGATTGGTTAAAAAAAATATTGTATTTAGTTTTTTTGGAAAAAATAATTTTGGTTTTGTATTCAGGTCGTAGAAATATATGTTGAAGGAATATTAATTTTATGGAACATGTGATTGATACTGTTATTAGAGGTAGATATTATTTTATTTTTTAGTTATATAAGATTAAATTCGAATATCTTATCACGCCATTAATAATTTTATATCAGTTTTTAGAATTTTTTTCAAAATAGATTATTTAAAAAAACCTCTTAATTTTATTGTAATAAATATATTTTAAAATTAGGAATTTAGAATTCGAATGAATGAATCAATGATTAGGTATTTTTATTAAAAAAACCCTGATTTTGTTGGATTTATAGGATTGAGATATTAAATAGTTGATTTTCAAATAAAAAATCTATTTGACTATCATAATGGATGTCTAATAAATGTGCAATATCTACAATTTACATTAGATATTGTCTTGATAATCTTTAAATTACTTATACTACTAATTTTCTATTTTTGTGTAACAACACAAGTATGTGAAAGACTCGGATTGATTGAGGAGGTTTGAAAAAAAAGAGAATTTCGTTAATGGCATACATTTGTAATTTCCGACCAGTGGTTGGTTTAATTGAAAAAAGTAAATTGAATAAAAAGTTGAACCAAAATTAGAGGTACTTAAACACGGCCATTTAAGCCATAACGGTCATTTCTAGGGGTTTCTAGGGGTGTGGTCATTTCGGTATTCTGGTAGAGAATGTTTCGCTCCAATTCTTTCGGTTTTATAAAAATATATACCAATTGGTTATTATATCGATTCGATTCGGTTTCAGTTTTGGTTTGATTCGGTTTAGATTTCTATAAGAAAATTTTAGATTTTTCTTCTTTCTTTTGAATCAGTTGACACCGGATAGAAATTAGTAGAATTTGAGTGTTCCTACCTTCTCTAGCCATTGTTTTTCATTCAACAAATTTTTGTTCATTTGAACCAGTTTGATAATTTCTTTTAACAAGTCATTTTGAGTTATTTTTTCATCATCACTTTCATCCTCCACCGATATTTATTTTTCTTCTTCAATGACTCCAAAGAATATAACGAGGTTAGATACATTTTTATCACTATCTCATTACATGTGTAACATTTCATCCATCTTCTAAGTGGGTGAAAAATCTAGTTTTCTCCTTTTGGGAGTGATACGTGATTTTTTCTTCTTAATACACTCCATCTTGGTATATCTATATCATTTGCACTCAAAACACTAAATTTCTTTTAAATTAATCACTCTTTTAACCTATTTGGACATTTATGTCTCTTTTGTTGTTTTTTTTTAATAACTAGGAAGTTCATCGGGCCTTCGGCCCGACTACATCTCACATGGCCCGGGAGCAGCCTTTAAAGTACATCTAAGGACCCAAAGAGCAACACCCTAAATGCATCCCTCCCTCTCCAGCAGCTAGATTCGAACCGGTGATCGGGACCTCGAGAGCTACACCCTCCCTCTCCAGCAGCTAGATTCGAACCGGTGATCGGGATCTCGAGAGAAACACCCTTTTTAACCACTCGTTCACTACTTATTAGGTCTTTTTTGTTGTCTTACACCCTTAGATATTAGTGAATTCTTCATGATACTATGATGAAAATGATTGAAAACACCTTTTAATTTAAAATAGAATTTTTTTTTCTCGAGTTATCCATTTGTTGCATCTTTATCTTTTTAACCCCATCAATTATTCTTGAATATTAAACTCGATTCATCTAGAAAAATATAAAGTCATGGAAAGAAATTACCTAGAAATTTGTAAAAGTTTTGAATATATTGAATATACATGGAAAATGAGGTTAGAATATTTATGTGGGTAGAATGCAAGAGTATATAAAGTTAGTATAAAAGGGAAGTAATGCGCAGGAGGAATAAAAAGTAAAGCACGAGAGAAAAGAGAGAGTTGTAAGAGAAGGAAGTAGAAGAGAATGAACACAAGAAGAAGAGAAGTTTATTGAGAGTTATTTGAGCTTTCGGAAAGTAATTTTGAAGCGATCATCTTATAAATTTCTATTAAGACCTAACATAAACATTGTTTGCACGTATCTCCATCCAGATTCGAATCTCCAAGAGAAGTATTCACATGAATTTACTTGATTCTCTTGTAGAAATAGATAGACTTAAGACACAGTAAACTTTATGCAATATTAAAAAAAAAACATAAACGTTGTTTAGTTTGTTTATGACTTGTGTCTGATAATCTAAATTGTTTACTTTCCCGTATCTGTCTCTTCGCATATAAGAAATAGAAATCGGTCTTTTCACTTTGCATTTCCGTTTACACCGTAGTATTTGAAGAGAGTAGCTTTTAGTCTAATCGAAACACTGATGATACACTGAACAAAAATCTCCATCCTCACTGCAAGGTCCCCACGGTCTTGTTGATCTCTTCCAGCTTCTTCATCCTCAATCTCTCGCTCTCCGTAAGAAGCTGACGAGAATATCACCAACGCAACGGTCAGAAAGCCGGAGATTAAGGGAATCTAATCACTTTTCGATTAGGTGTTCATCAAGTTACCTCCATCAATACCGAAATAAGGTGAGCTTTCTCTTTGTTCTTTTCGTTGAAAGCTTCTACCGTCTCCTTGTATTCCTTTTCCTGCCCATATGTTTGTGTTATAGAGATTCAAGAAAACGAAAGAGCTATAGAGGGAGGTATGAGTGTGAAACCTTCTTCTGGCAATTCTGAGCCAAAGATTTGATTTCCCGGTTCGCAGTATCGATCTTCTTCCTTATGGCTCCAACCTCTTTTCTCATGGGGTCTCCCATGATCTCCAGCTCCTTTCAGACATAGTTTTAGGATGAAAGTTGCTCATGAATAAATAGTTACCCAAGGAAAAACAGGATAATCCAAGGTGGAAAAAAAACCCCGATCTTTTTTGATGGCCTGAAGTTAGATTTTGAATTCTCTGAATTTGGTTTCTTGAAAGTTATTGGGTATGATTTATGATTATGTTTCATGCTTGCGTTAGTAACTTGTTGTTCTCTAGCTGGATTCTCTTCAGCAAGACCAACACTACAGGAAGTGTAATAAACTAGACATGAATTAATGTGGCCCGTTCTAGTGGTTTGGGTTTTTTTATTCATCTCCAAAAGGTCACGGTTCAAACCATATGTACTGGTTTTGTAGGGGAGGGCACTGACACCCAAAATGTTGAGTACTCGTTTGATTTGCGAGTCAGATTTTGAGTTCGGGTTTTGGCAAAGGATTACCGATATCCCACTTATACCCGAGCCAGAGGGGACAAGGTAGCGAGGGGGAGAGCGCCGAGGGGAGGGCAAGCGAGCGATGGGGAACCGGGGCGGTAAGAGCAATGACGGCGAAGAAGCTTCGATTTTTAAGGTAGGGCTAGATTTTAATTTTTAAAGTGGGAGACCATCGACGTCTACGCACCTCATCATCCATCGGGCCCTGTCAATTGCTACTCTCTCTTTCTTGGCGAGGCTCGCCCATCGCAGCCTCATTGAACCAACCCCCGCCCCCTCGAGACCTCATTGGACCACTCTTTCTCATGTTATTCGCCTCGCTCCCTCATCGTTCGGATGCCTTGTGGGTACCCGAGCTCTTGCCGCACCATGCCCGCCCGTATATGTATGTTGGAGAATAGAAAGAATAGGTTAAGTTTCAAGACTTACTTCTAAAGTCTGAGCCAAGCATCTGGTGGCTTCCTCCGCGAGGCCGAGCCTCTGTTCAACCTTCTCCTTAACGGCCATTTTCTTCCTCTCGATCTCTTCTTCCCGAGCTTGGAATTTCGACATAGCCGCTCTCCATATCTCCTCTTCGTCGGTGCTCTCGTCTATTGGTATCTTACCGTTGGTTGCGACTGCAGAAGCTGTGGCTGTTTGGTTCTTGTTGTTCATGTTTCTGTTTGCTCTTCTTACAATGTTCCCAAAGTGTTCAAACACTTTGGTCCTATATAAGTACTTTCAAGTGTCTTCTCTCTCTCTCTCTATCATTTTGGTCTTTTGCTTTTGCTTTAACCTTCTTAAAGGAAGTTCCTTTGCTTTGACAACATCTCAAATAGAACGGAAAGCAAACCCGCCAATGAAAAAAAAATTAGACACAAAAAAAGTTACTATTTTGTTTCGAATTTTGAGAGCGGGACCAATTTAATTTTAAGAAATATATAGATATATATTTAATTTCGTTTATATAGTTTTATAGTTTAATGTTCCGTAATCTTTAGTGGCGAACCAATTCTTATCCTTCCCCTCTCACGTCACAAACAAACTCAGGAGGAGAGAGCCATTTAACAAGTAAGAATGGTTCACTATCCCCTTTTTATTTTTTTGGAAAAACTAAATTTTCAAATGTACAGATGACGAAATCGTGTTATCTTTTCCTAACAGCAGAGAGCTGACCCGATTATAAATTCAAACGGGTTAACCTATTTGGTTAATTTTTTTAAATGGGTTAAATAAATTTTGATCCATTAAATTCATAGATTAAATGGGTTTCTCGTTAAATCTAATGCGTATTTAATTAAAATTATTATATACAGATAAAAAAATATTAATATATACGTTAATATACACATACATATAGGCTTATAGATTTCAAAATCTAGAGTTTTCCTCTACCAGTGGAAGATCGTATTTAAATACAAAATAAAATTTAGATAACAATATTAACACTTTAAAATAAACCAGTTTAGATTTCCTATATTGCTACCATTTGTAAATATGTTTAAAATTATTGTCGTTGTTGCTATTGTTGTTATTGAACTCTTTAAAATTTGAACATTTTAGAGAAAAAAAAGACGAATTGAAATATAGAGGTAATAAAATATTTAAATTAACCAATCCATCACACCCAGTTCTTAATCTTCTTGGTTCTGTCTGCGATACCTATGCATATTGATAGAGCCAAATATAAGTTGTATATTCTGTTGATAATATCTTCGAGATATTTTCCTAGATTTGTTTGCTAGGTTTTTGGTTGGGTCGTTGTTGTATATGTATGCAGTTTTCGAAATGTTAATACAGCACACAACATGTTATGATATCAGAGCCCGACCTCTTTTTTTCTCACCTCCCATGGCAACCGATCTTGCTTCTGCCTCCGCTTCGGCCGTTTCTATGCCGACCGATCCGACAATTTCTTCAGCCACGAAGAACTCATTTTCCGACATTCCAAGGAGAACCATCTCTCCATTCGACTTGAGCCCAAGTGATAATCCGGGCTTGGTGCTCTCGCAGCCTCTGTTACGAGGCCCAAACTACGAAGAGTGGTCGATAAATATCCGCCACGCCTTGAAATCGCGAAAGAAATTTAGTTTTTTGGATGGCCGAATTCCACAACCAAAACCTTCCTCCGCCGAATTCGAAGACTAGGAGACTAACAACTCTCTCATCGTCTCTTGGATTAAAAATACGCTTGAACCTGGTTTGCGTTCCGATGTCGTACATCGTGAATTTGCGAAGGATCTCTGGGATTATCTTCGCCGACGTTTTGGGGTGTCGACTCCTCCACGGTTGTTGCGTCTTCGCAACGACCTAGCTAATTGTCGCCACATGGTTTGAGTGTGGAATCTTATTTTGGGAAACTCACAAAACTGTGGGATGATTTTAGCTAGTGTTCGTCCATTGAAAGTGTGTAAGTGTGGACTGTGCATCTGTCACGTTGTTGCCGATCTTGAGAAACAGTGACAAGAAGACCGTCTTTATGAGTTCTTACTCGGTTTGGACGATGCACGCTTTGGCACCGTTCCCTCGAATTTACTGTCTCGGTTACCATTGCCGACCGTCGAGGAAGCATACTTGGTCGTCACTCAAGATGAATCCTCGAAGGACTCTGTTTCCCGAGTTTCTGATTTTCCCGATGCAACTGCCTTCTCTGTTCAGCAAGCTTCGAAACCTCGTTCGCCTCTTCCTATTAAGGACAAATCCGTTGTTTGTTCTAACTGTGGCCGATCGGGTCATATGATTGAATCCTGCTTTCAGCTTCTGGGTTTTCTGGAATGGTGGGGCGACCGTCCCAGGAATCGTACAGGTCGAGGCCGTAGTACAACGTCTGCTTCTCGTGGTCGTGGTACCGGACGCGCCAACGCAACTCAGATTGGTTCTTTGAATCAGTCTGCTCCATCATCCGTCGTTTCGATTCCGATAGGCCTCTGACATTTGGCTTGAGTGATGATCAATGGAAGGCATTAATCTCGCTCTTGAATGCCGGAAAAATTGGAGCCACCGAAACCTCGTCGGGTACGCCTTCTACTACCTCTTGGAACCTTGAAACAGGTGCTTCGCACCATATGACTGGTTGTTTTGATCAGTTGCATCGACCAACTACCATGGCTCCATTTAATATTATTCTTCCCGCTGGTCGTCACTCGGTCATCTCTCAGTGGGGGACTTCTGTGCTTTCGTCCTCTCTTAGCCTAACCGATGTTTTCTATGTTGCGGGATTACACGTCAACCTTCTCTCGGTGTCTCGATTGCTTGCGGATCGTGATTGTATTGTGCAATTTACTGATAAATTGTGCTTAATTCAGGACCAAGTTTAGAAGACGCTGATTGGAGCGGGTGAGCTTTGCGACGGGCTTTATTATTTTCGGGGTGTCAAAGTTGCTGCGACTATTCGTTCTGTTCATTCACACGACGTATGGCATCGTCGACTTGGTCATCCTTCAAATAAAGTGTTAGGACAGATTTCCGGAATTGATTTTGGTGGTTCTTTAAATAGTTCGGCAGTTGCTTGTGATGTTTGTATCCGAGCAAAGCAAACCCGTGATTCGTTTAGTTTGAGTTCGAATAAAACATCAGAAATTTTTCACCTTATCCATTACGATTTGTGGGGTCCCTAACGTACTCAGTCTTTTTGCGGTGCTCGTTATTTTATCACCATTGTTGACGATTATTCCCGTGACATTTGGTTATTCCTCATGTTGGACAAGACTCATGTTTTTCGGTGTATTCTTGAGTTTCTAGCCATGGTTGATCGACAATTCTCGAAAAAGGTTCGAATTGTATGATCCGATAATGGCACCGAGTTCACATGTTTGCATCATGCCTTTCGTACACGTGGGATCATCCACGAAACATCATGCATTCATACTCCGCATCAGAATGGTCATGTGGAACGGAAACATCGACATATCCTTAATGTTGCTCGTGCTTTGATGTTCCAAGCACATTTTCCGATCGAGTTTTGGGGTGACAGTGTTTTACATGTCGGTTATCTGATTAATCGTACTCCCTCCTCCGTACTCTCAGGTCGAACTCCTTTTGAAGTCTTATACGATCGGCGTCCGGATTATTCTAATCTTCGAACCATGGGTTGTCTTTGTTATGCTCATAACAAAGATCGTCATGGTGACAAGTTTGCTCCACGAAGTGTTCGTTGTGTGTTTGTCGGTTATTCTTCGAGAAAGAAAGGCTGGCGATTATATGATCTTGACAAGTGTCGTTTTATTGTATCTCGAGACGTGGTTTTCTGTGAGGATCAATTTCCTTTCGCTAAAGAACCTACCGTTACCTTGTCTCCACCAGCTTCTCTGACCTCGTCACCTTTTCCCATAGATGACGATGATGTTGTTGGGTTTCCTGAGATCTCTAGAGCGAATCCTATTCCTAAGAGATCGATTCTAGGGTTTCCTGGGATCTCTAGAGCGAATCCTATTCCCGAGAAATCTCGAGACTTAGAACTCGTTTTTGGATCTCCAAAAACTCTCTCTTTTCTGCCAAAAGTCGGCTCTTTTCGTCTCTTACGAGTTAGGGTTTTTAATCTCCTTCTTATAAGGTGATTTAACCCTAATTCGGTTTAATTTCGGTTTAATTTCGGAAAAACTGAAGCCCGGAACGGACGGTCCAGAAATGCACGTGGACCGTCCGTTCCAGCACGTAGAACGGACGGTCTGCTCACGTGGACCGTCCGTTCCAGACTTTCTGGAACGGACAGTCCGTTCTGGACCGTCGGGTCTGGCACGGCGGAATGCACGAAATCTCTATTTCGGATATACAAGTCATAGGCGGTCTCTAGCAAGACACTATGACTACCTATCTCGAATAGAGTTTGTTCGTGATCTTTACGAACGCCAGAGATGATTCCGGTTGATGATCCTTTTGTATCACGATATCATATGTCGAACATAAGGCATGGACAAGCCACCTTATCTGATTCGACTGCTTTCTCGTTCACTGAGTTCGACTGTCTAAAATAGACGACGTTCGTCTATAGTGCGGCCACACATTTCTACAGTCTCGCTCACACGAGGGGCCCAGCGATATCTCTCTCTTTTACGAGAGGTACAAATCCCGTTTTGACTATCTACAATCCAGTACATGATTCATTTCGTGCCTGATACACGCCTTTATAATCCTCCTGTTACGCAGGACGTTTGACGTAATCAAAGCACGCAACTCCTCATGTTGGATCCCGTAGATATCTCAGGTCTTAGGATCCAATCATGCAACCGTCATATGAGATTCAAGTCATGATGCTAGTCCATGTGACAATCTCATGTGGGTCAATCCAGTACTGGGATCCAATCGTGGAACTACCATATGAGATTCAAGTCATGACGTTAGTCCATGTGACAATCTCATGCGGGTCAATCCAGTATTCCGTTCTCCAACGAATACCTATGACTGTGATTGTATCCAATACATATGATCAATGCTATGATCATCAATCACACATCATACTAGTCTTATTTTGTCATCATTCCCATAATGACACAAGACTAGGGAGTTCAGTATCATTCATAATGATACATGGATTTCATAACACATCTAGTATGCAAGAACATGTAATGAATCAAATACTCTCATAAAACAGTAGAAAGTATCAATACATCAAATGTATCTAAATAAAACTCAAATACAGTACATCATAGAGCACTAAACCAACAGATGTTGGTTTTGTTTCGACAGTATCTCCGTCTTCTGTGTTGGCACCTCCTCTCAATCCTTCTG